ATCCCCCCTCAGCCTTCTCTTGTGGAGGCTGAACAGGTTCAGGTCCCGTAGCCTCTCCTCATAGGGCCTGCCCTGATGTCCCCTGATCATGCGAGTGGCCCTCCTCTGGACCCTCTCCATGCTGTCCACATCCCTCTTGAAGTGTGGCGCCCAGAACTGGACGCAGTACTCCAACTGCGGCCTGACCAGTGCCACACAGAGGGGAAGGATCACCTCTTTGGACCTGCTCAAGATGCATCTGTGGATACATGACAAGGTGCAGTTGGCCTTCCTAACTGCCTCCCCACACTCCTGGCCTATGTTCATCTTGGAGTCAAAAACTGTTTTTTGAAATGCTCCGGAAAAATTCAGCTTGAGGCAAGCACGTTGTTTAGAAATTTCATAGATTTCATAGACCTTAGGGCTGGAAGGGGCCTCAGAAGATCATAGAGTCCAGCCCCCTGCCTCGGGCAGGAATTCAGCTGGGGCCATAGGATCCCAGCAAGATAAACTTCCAAATGTCTCTTGAAGGCATTCAGCCCAGACTTGGCAAAATTATGAGCAACTGAAAATAGTGCTGTAATGGGAAGTGTTGTGCAGCCTTAATGATGAACATTGTGATACACACAGTTAATAGTACTAAGGCTTCATTTATACTTCTGTAGCTTTGACCAAAATTCTGTGGCATTATGGTAAAATGCACAAAATTCTGCAGCATCTTGAATAAATTTAAAACAACATATTAAATTTTTTTGTTACTTAATTAAATTTCCAGTCATTAAAAGTAGCTCTTACATAGAATTAATTTTTGATAATCCATCTACTTCACTGTGTCCCCATTATTTTGCTATGGTGAGGGTTATCTTCTGAGTTCAGTTTAAACAGACTGGTATAGTTCACATTACTCAAAGCTGTCGCTTCAGATTGCCTGCTGAATCAGGAAGGCTTGACTGCACTAGTTTACATTCTCTTCAAATTTGCGAAGTTTTTTTTGCTGTCATAAAGGATGGAAAGTTTGGGGGTTTTTTTAAATGCACTTTTTGATTCTAGAGACATGTCTCCTATGAGAGTGGGTGAATTCCACACCATGTTCTCAGCCCCAAAGTATTTCTTTTTCCACTTCAGAATCAGCTTTATCCTTATGTGACATTAAATTTTTCAACATGTTGAAGCAAACACTGCTTATTATAAAATGGCAAAGGGTCAATCAAGACCATAGTCGCTGAATTAAAATGACTGAGGCAACAGCTACTGTGCTGAGTCACAGTAACCAGGAGGGGGTTAATGACCTGTAATGCGTCCGGTCTGACTAAGGTTACTACACTTGACTCATGTCAGTTCTGAAGATTTGTTAAAAAGGAGAGAGCCCAGCTCTGCTGTCTAAGAACTAATCTAAGTGGGGCCAAAGGTTATTTTGGGTTGTGACAATGGGGACTTTCCTTGCTGCTAGCTGGCATGGGCTGGTGTCTCAGTGGAGACCACTGGTGTTTAATCTATGACCCACGGACAGGATATAGGTTTGCACATGGCTCTGGAGTCTAGGGAACAAATGCTGCAGCTACTCATCCCCTGTTGTTTTGGTGTCGAACAGTGAACAGCAGTGGAATTTACCCCCTGCGCTTCAGAGGCATGCAGAAGTGGTGGCTCTGGTTAGCAATGTTAGTGGTGGCACAGACATACTCATGAGCTCACTGCGCATGTGGAGCTCTGGCAGGAGCCATACTGACCTGTAGGTGAACTTGGAGAGCTCACCGCATGGCCAGAGGAGGTGTGGTCGTACCCCTCCTTGGCCCACTTCAGATTTAAAGGTTTGGCCCACATATATTAAAAAATAATAATAATAAAGTTGAGCACTACTGATGTAGACTGTAGCCATAACTGAAGATTGTTGAAGATTGCATTGGGGAAACTGAGGCAGAACTTCTGCGGTACTGTATGCAGCCTGGGGGCCATACAGGGATGGTACTTCTTCCATTAATATTCTGTTGAATCCTATTTGATATTTATTTGACTCAGTAGAATGCTGTGCTTTAACACTTCTGCATTGTATTTCACCATGGGTTGGATGGCAACAGGCTATCTTCCCTGGACCACTGCTGCAAATTTGACCTATGCTATTTGTTTAGTCCCCAGTTGTTGTTTTTATTCAGTCCCCTTACCCTGTGGGCAGTGAGTTTTTTGAGTTTCCGTTCCCTGTGATAGATCTCCAAATAAGAGAGGATTCCACCACATGTGTTACCAACTAGGCCTCTTTGCTGGCAGACACAACAGAGCTTTCAAAGACCGAATGGGCTGTGGAGACTCTACTCCCCTGTTACTTCAAGTAAGATGCATTGTCAGGGATGAGTAAGAATCTCATATTCCTTCTCTCTGTTCTATCTAGAGAAGGGAATTTGAACTCCAGGGCTGCCAGGCTGGTGGATTTTGTTAATGCTGCTTTCATTGGGTTCTTAAATAAGTACACAAATCATTGCAACCATGGGAAATTTTATTTCATAGGCATGAAAAAATCAAGAAGAAAGATGCTAAGCACATCTTTGCTTTTGAAGAGATGAAAGGAGAAGTTCGGTTTAGTAGTCATTTGCCACAGCCCAACAGCCTTTGTAGGTAAGTGTGTTCATGCTGTGCACATCCAACTTTGACTTCCTTTTCCTGGTATATGCTGCCTTGATGTATTTTTGACAGCAATTGTATTCCCTATTGGCCTGTATTTTACTAAACTAAACAAGCCAGGGTCTTCCAGGGTAGTGTTTTTCAACCTATGGGTCACAAGAATATGAAAGGGTCGTGAACAAACTTTTAAAAATGGATTCTCCTTTAAAGGAGAAAAAGGTGGAAAACCATGGCTTTTTCCTTGCAGAGTTCCAGTTTGCAAGGGGCTACATGGGGCCCCCTATGCCCCATACACAACACCACCCCCCACCCCGCCCTCGGCATGCCCTCCATGCTGTGGGGGCTGGGACCTGAGGGTAGGGGATAGCTGGGTTGGGAGTGGTATTGATGTTTACAAATGGGTCCTGGTACAAAAATGGTTTAGAACCACTGGTCTGGGGCATGAATATGCAGCTTCCCTCCCAACCTTAGAACCACTGCCAAGAAAATAAGCCCCACCTACTCTCTTCAATTCTGGCCCACTGGAGACTGGCAGCTAGAGATAGCATAGGTGGCTTGGGAGTAGGTTGGAACACAGCCCTAAGTGTTCACCCCCAGGACCATGGTCAAGCTGTCCTGAGACTGTGTCTGAGTGCCTCCCTAGGATACCCACTTTGGGCCTTTTCCTGGCGACATCCTATCCAATACACTATGGCTGTCTAGTTTCCAGCTTTTGGCATGCAGAGGGAAGCAAGTCAATGGGACTTATATTTTTCAGTGGCTGCAGTCTTGTGGTCAGGAGTGAGGGAGATGTGCCCCATGTCTCTTCTTGTAAGATTAACTCTCCATTTCCCTGCTCATCTTAGTAGCCATGCTTTGTACCTGTCATACTTTCAATCTCCCTGTTGCACATGGGTGACCAGAAGCACACGCTGTATTAAAGATAAAGTTTTACTGGAGCTTTATACAACAATACTAATGCTCCCCTATCTACTGAAAATACTTGTGATACCTACCATATTTACTATGTACAAATGAGCAGTGTATCATATGTACCCATGGTTAATGATGAGCATGTGTCACCATTCAATGGACACCCTCATGAGACCTTAACCAAAACTTTTACTCAACATATGAGACCACTTTTGAGTCAGGGAATAAGTGCGCTTTCATATATCAGTCAAGACAGCATTCAGTGCAGCAATAACTTCTGCTAGAAGAATGAACAAATTGCAAGCTTTGGTGGCTCTACCATTTAGTTTTCTATGGAAGCAAAGTGATCATGCACCTATATACTACCTTCCTGCCCAATACAATAACTGATGTCCATTTTAACCAATCAGTAGTTTCTCTCAGACTTCATTCATTCATTTAAGCAGTCTAAACTTGCATAATGTATGTTAGAAGCAAACGGTTAAAGGCTGTAAAAAGTTCCCCAAACTATCTTTCTCCCTCCCTTACAGAGATGATAATAAAAATCAGGGTGTTTCACCTTAACACAGTTTCAAACAGTATAGCAAAATGGAGAGATTTACTAATTAATCTTTGTGACTTGTAAAACTTAGTGGACATGCACCTAGTGGTATTTGTACCATCTTGGACATAGTGTCATTGCAGTCTGAGAAGCAGCAGGGTGGAACACATTCCATACACCAGTTAAACATCTGGTCACTAGATTAACATATGGATGTGATGCATGGCTTGACAGGACAGTATTCCAGCCACCCTGTAGGATCCTGGGTCCCACTTTCTTCAGTGGTTTGTACTGCTTATCAAATTATTTCATAGTTAGTTTCATAGCGCTTAGGGTCGGAAGGGACCTAAGCAGATCATCAGGTCCAACCCCGCAACTGTGGAGTAAGAATGTGTAGAGTCCACTTGAAAAAAAAATGGTTACTAACCTATAACTAAAGTTCTTCAAAATGGCCTCTGCGCATTTCCGCTCCCTGCCCACATTCCCCTTTTCCTCAGAGTCCTAATCAGAAACCCAGATGCAGGCATGGTAGAAAGGACTGTTGTTTTGAGAACATTCAGGAATACAAGAGGGCTCACAGTGAGCGATGACAGTATTCCACTGAGTACTACTGCATATGTAGTCCCATGTGCATACATGTGCAGAGGTCACTTGAAGAACTTTGGTTACAGGTGGGTGATTTTGTCTCTCTTTTGGCTGTTTGGATAACACTGGGGCCTGACTTGGAATGTCTGCTTGCTAGGAAAAGCAGCAACAAAGTTAGTCTGACACTTCTCCAATCTAATCTTGTTGGTATGGACATCTAAATCTAACTGGAACCAGTGAAAGGTTCGTGTTAGACATAAACATTGTTTTGTCCCCCTAATTAAAAAAAAAATGTTTAGCTCTATTAACATAACATCAAGGTGAAGTGATTTAAAAAGCCCGGTGAATACCCAAGAAGCTCTGGAACAGCGTTGTCTCTGGTTCTTGGCCATAAAGCGTACATATGGAAGACAATACTAGATTTCCTGTATGCCAGAATAACACTACTGTTGATATGTTGGCTTTTGCCTTATGTATGATTCATAGATGCTAGGGTCGGAAAGGACCTCAACAGATCATCAAGTCCAGCCCCCTGCCTAGGCAGGAAAGAGTGCTGGGGTCTGTTTTTACTGTTCAACTTTACTATTGTACTAATATATTTTTTTCATTCAGATAAACTATTTTATGAACAGAAAAGATAGAATGGAGGAAAAATACCTTGGATAAAATTCTGCTCCCATTGCATGTGAACTGTGTTATTGATTTCATTGGAGCACCATGCTCCCCCTTTGTACATGCTTCTAGTATTTACAGGAGATGTATGAATTAATTGGATTTCTCAATGTAAGATGCCTGCTTTTCAATTTTTATTTCACCTGTCAATACTTTTGGTTTAGTATAATTGTAGAACCAATGGAAAATTGGTTACAACTGATGCTGAATTGGGATCCACAACAAAGGGGTGGAGGTGTAGACCCAGAAAGCAATCGTCTGAGATGTTTCCTGTTAATGGATCAAATACTAAATTTGAAGGTAAGCTTAAATGTTTAAATATTGAGAATGAAGGGCTTTTGGTGGGAAGTGAATGAAAATAAAGTGCAATTTTAGCTGATCCGTTTGTTTTTTTTCTTGAAATCCTGACACCTTCCAGATCAAGGTCACGAGGAAAGTATTCTCCATTGCTTCAGGTCTTATAGGGACTACCTAAGTCTCTGTGAAAGTTTGCAATGCCTTTAATTTGCTCTTTTTGCTTGGCCACTGAGTGGCCAAGAGGCACCGGTTTTTGCCTCTCAGTCACTCAGAGGAGGTTGGGGGGCGGCACATGGCAAAAAGAACGATTAAAGGCGGTGCTGTACCATGAACTTCTGCCACAATTTAGGTAGGTCCCTACTTATATATTCATGCCTGGATCCAGTTGATATATGAAGGCAAAAATACCACCAGCAATATGATTTGCTTAGTTTTATTTTGGCAGCTAAAGAGTGGTCTTACAACAATGGACTGTGTGCCATGCATTGTGTGCCAAACCTAGGTAGCATTTAAAGAATGTCAAGGCTAGATCACTATCCCTTTGCATGTTGGAGTTTTGCTGAAGAGTTTGAAGAGTGGCAGTTCAGAGGAGCAGTGTGTGTGGTTTCAGCAGTACAGTTTGTGCTGCAGAATTGATTCAGCAGTGTTGGGGCTGATGTGTACTTTAGTGTTTTTGGGCTCCTAGGTGTAATAAAAGTCTGGTTTTAAAACTCTTCCTGCTTTGGGAGTATAACAGTTATCCAGTGCTTTGCCCCTATATCTCCTGTTATTTCGTTAGTCAATTTTACATTTCTTTATTAAATTTCTGCTTTCCATAGCAGCTTGTTCTTAGCCCAGTGGTGCTCAACCTTTCTGCCCTGGGGGCTAGATAGGCAGTTCCCGGCCCCTTCACGGGTTGGATCCAGTTGGTGAGCTGGATTGGCATGTGGGGTGGGCATAGTGGGGCTCCATCCAGCCTTGCAGGAGGAGGGGAGCTGGCCCAGCCCCAGGAGGGATGGGGACTATCTGGTCCTGTGGGGTTTGAGAATTTAGTAGCGGGGGAGGGTTGGTGGTATTAAATGCCACCCTTCCTACACCACCAAATTTCGCCACCTGTGGAGAACCCCACAAGCTGGATTTGGCCCATGGGCCAGAGGTACAGCACCTCTGTCTTAGCCTGAGAATTTTTTATTCTTTTTTTATGCTTGAAAGAAATTGTAGCAGTTCTTTGGCTGTTTTTTTTTTTTTACAGATTGTACATATCCTAAATATGACTTCTGCCAAGATTGTTTCATTTCTCTTGCAACCTGAGGAAAGTCTGCATTCACTTCAGTCTCGCATTGAGGTTGAAACTGGAATAAGTACTGGAAATCAAGAGTTGCTTTTGGAAATGGGGGTTTCCCTGGACCCTCGGAAACCTGCCTCCCAGTGTGTTATTGATGGCGTTGTAAGCATATTTCCATTTTACTCCATTGCTGTCATGTCTTTTCTTTTAAACGTGAATGCTAAAATCTCAAGGAATATTAACTGCGTTGATTCCATCAGTGATTCTAGTTTAAGTTGTTGTCTTAACAGACTCTGTCGTATCTCTTGCTTTATAAGAATAGGTATTGACTAGGCAAGCTTCAGCATCCCTTGCTTGGCAGTTAATGTTATGAATAACTGAGTACGTTTTGCATTGCAATTTGAGTATCTACTATATTGGTTTCACAGTTGTTGTTTTTCACGGCTGTTCCTCAGCTCCTAGAACAGTGATTCTCAACCAGAGGGCTGGGGCACCCTGGGGTGCTGTCAGATCTTTTGAAGGGTTCCATGAGGTGGGAGGAGATAAGCGAGGTGTTAGGAGATAAGCACAGGCTCATGGTTGTCTCTGCCTGGACAATCCCTCACTCCCACTGCCAGGATCCTCTGAAAGGAGATAAGCCCTCTAATCTATAAAATTAGTTTTTTGAAATTGAGTGCCACTCAATTTATAGAAGTTATGGAGGGGTGCATCAAGTCTTAAAAGGTTGAGAGCCACTGTCCTAGACGCTCCCTGCTGTGGTTTCTTCTGTGCCATGCTACACGTTTCTACCTCCCCACCCCAGTGGCTAGGTTTTTTTAAAAAAGTGTCCTCATTAAGCACATAAATAAAGTAGCTTAGCTTCCCACAGTGCTTAGTCCCTTTGCCAGTGCTTAGGAAAACCAGGCTTTCAGGGTAAAAAAAAAATAATCATGACTGTGTGTTAGTTGAGTAATTTTTTTAAAATTAATTTATACAGTCCTGTAACAGTGACCCTTTGGGTGGGCAGGAGGTGTTTTTAATCCTTTCAGCTTACACATTTCCTCTCCTTTCCTCACCAGAGAGGCTGGGATAGTTACATGGTTTATTTGTTTGATAAAAGCAAAACTGTCTATGAAGGTCCCTTTGCTTCCAGAAGTCTGTCTGACTGTGTAAATTACATTGGTAAGTATATTATATTTGATATTGAGCCTGAATATGCTTCAGCTAACTTAAAACCAAAGTCTGACTTGTTTTCAGTGCCTTCGTGTGTACCTTACAGAGCCTCTGAACATTTTATTTCCTTTAAGCTTTTGTATCTATATGCTAAAAAGCTCTGTGCACTGGGGGAACATTCCCCAGTTTGACTGCCAGTAAATACACCTAGCGCAAATACCACCATTCAGTCAGCAGCCAAGTGGGGCAAAGAGAGTTGTGGAATTCCATAAATTGGAGATGAAAACAACCTGCATGACCTGACCTCATTGCCAGCTCTCCCTTTATGCAGTTTTAAAATCTTTTTGCTCTAATCCTTTGTGTGGTTTAGGTCTCCAGTGAATATTTCACTTTTGTATTAAGTATGCAGTAGAGCGAGGAGTGAAAGCCAGGTCTTCCATCAGTTTGGTGAGTACTCCAGAGACCTAAACAACACTAAGCGTTAAAGCAAAAGGATTTTCAAACTGCATAAATTATTGAAGGAGAGCTGGTGATTAGATCAGGTCACGCAGATTGTTTCCATCTCCAATATATGTGATTCCACAGCACTCTTTGCTCCACTTGGCCTCTGATGGGGTGATTGTATTTGTGAGGGGTTTACTTGCCTCTTTCTGTCCTGGTGAATATTTATTCTGTGCGCATGAAACAGCTTCAACAGAAGTGAGGGAGAGTTTCCCCATTCCAGGACTCTCAATAGTCTGGGTGTTCTCAGGGCACTGTCCTGAGAGGTGGGAGACTTGAGTTTGACTTCATTCAGACAGAGGAGAGTGGTAAAACCAGTTCCCCACATTGCAAGTACTTTAACCCTTGAGGTATTGGGGGGAAAAGGGGGAGGTGACTTCTGCTTCTGCCATGTTTGGTGCAGTGCTTCATATATTAAGTGTGGTCTGAAAATGCCCTTTGGCCCATGCTCTGTAAGTGACACAGAACACTTAGTATATGGATCCCAATGTGCTTTCCCTTGAGGTCAGAGTTGAGGTTCTCAACACTGTCCAAACTGAGGTGCCGAAGTAGAATTTTGGTCATTGGAGGAACTGTAATAACTAGGGGAGCATCAATAAAGATTTTCTTGCCTGATACTGATAGCCAATTATTAACCAGCCATTTCAGCTGATACCGATCTGATAACCAGTTTATAGGAATACATCCAGGCAGCATGGAGAGCAGTGCCCAGTGGGTAAGTCTAGGGGGCAAGTGGCATGGAGGGAGGCAGATTGAGGCCCCCACAGTGACAAAGGGTGTGGGCCTGGAGGTGCTGACCAGCCACGGTGGTGAATGGGAACTGGGGCAGGGAGCAGGATGGAGCCGCAGACAGCTCATCCAGGGGATCAGCATCCTGGTGCTTAAAAATGGCGGCAGGGGTGCTTGAACAAAAGCTCTTTAAATGAGCTTTCATTCAAGTGCTGCCACCACCATTTCTAAGTGTGGGGACACTTTTAACCGGAGCTGAGCAGGGTGAGGGCAGACGTGGGCTACCCGCTGTGGGCTCAGGGCCCTCTGCTGCCTTTGCTGCATGTTACCGGCCCACCTGGCAACAGGAGACACAACTCACTGACCCCACTGCTGCTGGGTGGGCAGGGGACTTGCAGCTAATGTGCAGCCCCTGGGGCAAAGGCAGCAGAGCAGAAAGCCCTGAGCCCACAGCTGGCAGCCCGCATCCACCCTGCACACGCATCTGGGGGGGCACATGCCTTCCCCAGAGGGTGTGGGCAGCCACTCCCTGGACATGCCACCTGTGGCTCCGTTCTGCTCATGGCCCCAGGTCCCATTCACCATTCTGGCTGAGCAGTGCCCCCAGCCCCTGCCCCACTCCCTCCCTTACTGTGGGGGCCTCGATCTGCACACCCTCCTTCCCCCCCACAACACCCATTCCCCTCCACTGCTCTCCACACTGCCCAGCTGCATTCCTGGCCACATGCATGCATTTGCCTGTGCGCATGCACATGGCATCTGGGGGCCCCAGCCAGAAGGCATATTATATTTATTGGTGTCATTGGCTACACCAGCCAAAAAAAGCTGATAGCCAATTAATTTTCCTTTCATCGGTGCTGATCCAATATGGCACTGATATATCGGTGCACCTCTAGTAATAACAACCTTAAGTCAGTGGGGGCCAACCTTTTTAGCAGGTATGTCACAAATTAGTTCCCAATCCTCCCTGAGTGCCACTCTGATTGCCTTCACCTGCCTGATTAGCAGCTCTGCTTTCTGCTCCTTGCCTTGTGCCCCCTGCCTCTTTTGCTCTGCTTTCTGCTTCTTGGCATATGTGCTGCTTTGCAGCCTGATCCCTCCCTGATCTGCCGTGTGCCACACACAGGCTGCCAGTGTCACTTGTGGCACTCATATTGCAGGTTGGCCACTCCCGACTTAAGTGCTTCCAGGCTTAGGAGGCAATTTAGCAGCAGCTTTGAGGATTACAGTTTTCATAGATTTCATAGACATTAGGGCTGGAAGAGTCCTCAGAAGATCATTGTGTGCAGCCCCCTGCCCGAGGGGCAGGAAGTCAGCTGGGGTCACAGGATCCCAGCAAGATAAGCATCCAAATTTCTCTTGAAGGTGTTCAGTGTAGTGCCTGGGTGCCCTTAGTTTATCTCTCTCTCTCTTTCTTCTGTGTCCAGTACAGGATAGCAAAATCCAATTGCCAATTTCACAGCTGCGTAAAGTGTGGGCAGAAGCTGTCCATTATGTGACTGGGCTGAAAGAAGATTACAGCAGGCTCTACCAGGGGCAAAGAGCTGCAATGTAAGTCTCTGCTAATTTGGTAACTGGGGACAGGTGTACAAAAGGTATGAGGTCTGAACTGAAATGTGTAGGAAGTAAGGCTGCTGACAGATGTAGAACCCACATCTACACAATCCCACCCCCCAAAAACCCCAAACCTGCACTTTTACTGGAAGAGGCAGTGTATTAGTTCAGTCTGGTTCTGCAGGGTCTGTATAGATTGTGTGCTTCAGCGAGGCTTTTTGTCGCTTTCATCCAAAGCTGATTCAGTCAGCTATTAGAGAAAAGTGCCAAAAAAGCCCTGCTGAAGTGCCTGGTCTATACAGACTTTAGGTGAGCAAGGTCAAACTAACGCAGTGCCTCATCTGGGCACGTGCTGGGCTCAGCATGGGGGTACGTGGAGTTTACAGTAAACACCATCTTTTTTTTGTTTTTCTTTTATGTCTGTAAGCAGCCTATATGATTGTTGCCTGCCCACCCTTTTGAAATGCTTTGTTCTTTTCCACCCTAAATTTATATGGTAAATCCTCTTTGGATTTACAACTGATCACTCAAAGGCATCTCTTCCATCGCACACATTCTAGATGAAAACTGCGTTAAATTGGAATTAAATTTGAGAGTACACAAGAGTAATTCATGGGGAGTAAAATGCATTTTGGGGCAGAATAATTATTCCCTAATAAGTATTAAAAAAAAAATCCAACAAATTCCAATTTGAGCTTAATTTTAAAAGAAATCCAAAAAAGTTAAGGTCAGTGCATACATGGGTAAGGTAAATGAGCTGCCTTGCCTGCCTTGAACTGATTAAATAGCCAAATAGTTATGATTAGTGCATAGTAATGACTTGTGGTCCTAAATGAGCTTAAACCAATTTTTAAAAACAATCCTGGTCTACTGGGGTCACTCTAAGTAGGTGAGGCTAATAAAATTGGGAAATAAAGAAGGGTCACTCTTCCCTATTTCACAGATAGGGAGCTAAGGCATGGAGGAGTTGTGACTTGTCCAGTCAGTAGCACCATAAGAATAATCATTTTCATAGATCGTTTTTAAAAGAAATTCAGGGTCACTAAAGCATTCCTTCCAGGTGCCAGAATTAAGTTTCCTCACTGCAGTCAGTTCTTTGTTATCGTTGTTAATTTTCATTAGTTTCTTCATTAATTTTAAGAAATGCTTTTTGTGCTTATTACTCTAGGTTGAGTCTCCTCCGATATAATGCCAATTTAACCAAAATGAAAAATAATATGGTATCAGCATCTCAGCAACTGAAAGCAAAGCTGGAATTCTTTCATCAGAGTATTCACCTTGATCTGGAAAGATACAGTGACCAGATGGCTTATGGAATATGTAAGCATTCTAGGAGTATTTAACTTGGAACAAGTCAGATGGGACCTCCTGGATTGTCTAGTGGGACCTCCCTTCTTTGGCTCATGCTGCATAACTGGTGACTGCTGTTGCTATTTAATATGCAATTATATTATGGTTAGGCTTGATACTGAAGCCTCAGTGAAAAGAATGATGAGTGGCACACAAACATGGATAGATTAAGAGAATTTATAACCTGCAAGGTACAAGCAGATGTACGGTTGGGGATGAGTTCTGATCTGAATGAACGAATATGGTAGCAATCAGCCGGTGTTTTTGGTGTTTTTGTTACTGTGTTTATTAGTTGGGGATAGAGATTTGGGGAGGGAAAGAGGGGGAATGAGAATGTTGGGGAAGATAAGGGAGCATGAAAAGGTAGTAGTAGTAGATGGAGTGTCCCTGCTTCACACCTACTTCCTTGGGGTTGTAGAAGAGTACTGGAGGTATCATAGCAGAGACATGTGCTACAAATGAGTAAGAAGGGGGTGAATTGGGGGAAGGTTGGTTGTTGTGTGGACTTATTTGGGGATTTTTCCCTTATGGGTGTGTGATGGGGGAATCGAGACCTCGCCTGGTAAGGGTAGTCATGTGCAACAAGTGACTCCTGATCATCAGCATGTTACAGTCCACACTTACAAGAGAGCAGTCAAAATGGCAACGTGGAATGCGAAGACTACATCAAATTGAGAAATTGGACAATGTCAAGCATGAAATTGAGAGATTAAAGATCAATGTTCTAGGTCTGTGTGAAACACGTTGGAAAGAGGCTGGAATTATTGTTTCAGAAGATGTGTAGATCATCTATTCAGGAGGCCAGATGCACAAAAGGGTGGTTGGGTTGATTTTGGATGAAGAAACATTAAAATGTTTGCATGGTTTTTGGGCAATATCTGATAGTGATGCTTGTGAAAATAAAGGCTAAACCTTTCAACATTGTAGTAGTACAAATGTATGCATCGACAGCTGAAAGTGGGGAAGAGGACATTGATTGTTTCTATGAGGACCTTGATAAAGCAAAACAATGCAGACCTCAAGAAGTGGTCATAGCGATGGGTGACCTAAATGCAAAAGTTGGTTAGGAGGAGTAGATAATATTGTTGGACCTCATGGACTTGGTGAGAAAAATGAAAGGAGAGAGAGATGGATTGATTGGCGAGTTGCAAATAATCAGGTCATTATGAACACATGGTTTGAACACCACTCGAGAAAAAGGTATACATGGAACAGTCTTGGAACATAAGGAACCAAATTGATTACATCATCATCAACAGAAGATTCAGGAATGCAGTTCAACAATTGGAAACTTACCCAGGGGCTGACTGGGTGATCATATACGTGTAGTATGCACCATTAAGATAAGGTTGAGGAAACTTAAGTAACCAAAAGTGACAAAGAAGCATGATTACTCAGTTCTAATGGAAAAAGATATGATTAAAGAGAGGTACACAGTTGCAGACCAAAACCATTTTCAAGAAATTGAAGATGAAGGAAATATGTCAAACTGGGAAATTTTCGAAGAAGCACTAGTTGAAACAGCCAAGGATGTCATTCCATCAAAAGTAAGGCAAAAGAAACAGAAATGGAGGACTGAAGAAATCCTTGAACTTATGGAAGAAAGAAAGATGAAAACCCATAGTATGGAAGAGTATAAGAAACTGGGCAAAAGAATTAAATCAAGGTGCAATGAAAAAAGGAAAAATGACTGAATGAAAAATGTAGAGACAGAAAAACAAAGGATAAAGAGGTTACATCAATGTATAGAAATATCAGACATCACAGGCAAAGGAGGCTGTACTGCTAGGGGATGTATAAAAGTCAAGAATGGTGATTTAATTATGGAACAAGAACAAGTATTAAAAAGATGGACATAGTGTACTGAAGAGTTATTCCACAGCAGTCAAGAAAAAAAAGCCATCTATTAAGAAGAACATGGATGGTTTGAAAATTCTTAAGGCAGAAATACAAGCAGTTATCAACTGAATGAAAACCAATAAAGCTGCAGGGCCAGATGAGATTACAGTAGAACAAATAATGGTTGGAAGAGTTTGGTATAGCAAAGTTAACAACTGTTATCAATGAGATTTATGAAAGTGGAGTACTACCTGAGGACCTTAGTAAATCGATCTTTATTGCACTACCCAGAAGACCCAGAGCCACTGAATGTGAACTCCATTTAACCATCATTTTAATGAGCTATGTGACAAAGTTCTGATGGTGAGAATTAGAAGTAGAATAAGACCAGAGTGTGTAAAAGTGCAGTGTGGTTTTGTCTAAGATCCAAGTACAAGAGATGCTATCTTCATAGCATGAATGCTTTTTGGAGAAGGCAGTAGGAATGAGGGAAAGACCTTTTCTTGTGTTTTCTTGTTTATACCAAAACTTTTGATAGTCAAGAATGAGGAGTTAATGAAAATGCTGGAAGAATTGGATATTGATGGTAAAGACTTGAGAATTTTAAGAAACCTCTATTGGGACCAAACTGCAGCAGTGAAGATAGAAAATGAACTAAGTGATTTATTCCAAATTAAGAGAGGCATGGGGCAAGGCTGTGTTTTTTCACTGGATTCATTCGTCTTGTGAGAAAATACTGAGGGATTTACCAAGGCTGATTATTGGTGGCCAGAATTCGAACAACTTGTGTTATGCTGCTGAGACAGTCTGAATGTCTGATTCGGAAGAGAAGCCGCAAGGAATTTTAGATAAAATTGTTGGTGAAAGTGAGAAATAGGGTCTAAGTATTAACTGTAGGAAAACAATACATGGTAATTACAAAGAAGATGATCATTCCATTATGCAACATCAAAGTGGAAAAGGAACAGATAAGGCAGGCTAATAAATGTAACTACTTGGGAAGCTGGATAACGTCAGCTGGTAAATGCGATCACGAAATAAAACGGAGTAGAGATGGCAAAAGACGCATTTCTGGAAATGAAAAAGATATTGACAAATAGTAACATTTCTATGGGGGTGAAGTTAAGAGTCTTGGATTGCTATGTTATACCAGTCATCGTGTATGCATTGGAGTGCTAGACAATATTGCCAAGTATGGAAGAGAGAATTGAAGCAACTGAGATGTGGTTCTTAAGGTGCATCTTGAAAGTATGTTGGACAAGTTGCACTTCAGATGAAGATCTTTTGGTAAGAGCAGGCTGCAGGAGGAAGCTGCTGATTAACATCGGAAAGAGACAGTTGGAATTTCTTGGACATGTTATGAGGAAAGAGGAAATTGAAAGTCTGGTTGTAACTGGAAAGATTGAAGGAAGGAGAGATTGTGGAAGACAGAGGTTGACTTACATCAAGAGTCTATCTAAATGGATGAATGTATTGACACGGGAAATTCTGTATGCCTCAAAGAGAAGAGATCTGTGGAAGACCATGATCACCAATGTCCTGTTTGGATATAGTACTTAGAGAGAGACATGCCTGTAAGAGAGATTTATAGAAATAAAGTCCATAGGACTATTGCATCACCCATTTTAACCTCTTGTGTAGCAGCCCAGAGAACACCACCCAATGATTTCTGCACGCAGCCTGGTATTTCTGGATTGTGGGAGTGATGGTGATCAGCTGTTGGAACCTTTTACATAGGGATTCACCTTTTACACTGGACTCTTTGTTACTTTGGGTTTTTAAATTTCTGAAAAATCTTCTCTGACCCAAGCCTGAGAAATGGAATGAATGTAGACGTTACTGGGTGGCTTCATGGCCTATGCTGAGGCACCTAATGCTTTATAATGGTCCCTCTGTCTTAAGCACTTGCAAGTCCTTGAGAATTCTGTCTTTTTGGAGTGTCAAGATGGGTTTTCTGAAGTGTTTGGGATCTGTCCTAACCTTGCAAAAGCCAATGATTGTACTCTCACCTCTAGATTCTGTGGCACAGAGAAACCCCCTGCACTCAGGCTATTTGTTTGCAGGATGATGAGGATTATCAAAAATACTAATACTGATCAGAAATGCAAAGGCCAGAATTTTTTTTTTTATTTTTTTTTTTTAAAGTGTAAATTCATCTGCTCAGTTTTTCAAACAGGCTGAACTAAAAAAAAAAAAGATGTTACTTGAAACTGGCCTCCCAACATGTCAAGAATTCAGGACAGTTTAGATCCCTAAAAAAGGATTTATACACTTAATTTTATGTGCAATGTTTTAAAAATTTGTGCATATGTGTATACATTTATAAACTAGATCTGTATGCCAGGTCTAGTTTGTTTCATGTCTATGTCTTTTCTATAAATTAACCAAACTCCATTTTTTTAAAGCTTCTGAAAAGATGCTCAAAGCCTGGAAGGAAATGGAAGAAAAGGCCATCCATTGTGCCCAGGTATGGAATGTAAAAGAGGTTTGCTTACTTTGGCTCTCATGTTACAACTTTATTTTCTTATGGCTGTACCTCAGTTAGTTTCCAAGACATCAGATTGCATCTCTTTGAGGCCTACAGAATGATCTCATTCAACTTGATCAACCCCTGACCTTTGTCACCAGAAGTCCCTTCCCTTGCTTCAGAAGTACTCTGGTGGAGGGGGATTGCCATCTTGAAACTAGGGGAAAAAGATCGTATACTAAAAAAATCAAACATCTACTATAACTTAATTTAATTTTAACAGTTTAATTTTTTTTGTCCTGATTAATGTGCATTTATGTAGTGTATCTAGAGGTGATTGCATAATAGCTTAAAATATGGTCTTACTCTTGTATGTTATATGTGGGGGGCAAGAGGGGGTGTATGTGGAGGGTGTGTGGATGGGGAGGGTGCATGTGGTGGGTAGGTGCCTGGGTGTGGAGGGGTGTTGGGGTGGGTGGGAGAGTCTTTGTAGTCTCTAGGGAGTATGCAAGTCCCTGGAGCTGCATTTCACGGCATGTTGCAGGGTCAGTGCCACCCAGCCCCATAGGGCTCAGCTTCTGCAGCATACAGGGCCAGCCCAGCCTGGCCCTATAGCTGACAGCTCCCTGCACTTCCGGCCCCCTTTCCCCCAATGGGAGTCTCTGGCCCTGGTGAAGCCCTTACCTAAGTTTCCACTCTCGTAGGCAGGGAGGGCTAGGGACAGCCGCCTGGGGAGCAGACACAAACTCTGCCAGGCAGAGGCTTTTAGTCTTCAGTGCCTCGGGGCTGGGGGTGGGTCAGGCCAGGCTGGGGTGATAAATTCTGTGTTATCAGCTCCCTCATCTATCAGGTTTGC